TCAACTAGTTACATCCTTGAAGAACTTAAGCTGATTTGTCAAGCATGATTTCCTTTTTGCAAAACCATGCTTACTGTGTCTGATTCTACTATTATTTTCTAAGTGTTCTGCCATAAAATCCTTGATAATGACTCTAGCATCTTCCCCACTACCAAAGCTAGATTCACTCATCTGTTATTTGCTGTTTTCCCTCTACCTCCCTTTTCAACTAGTGGGCATACATTAGCTACACTCCAATTTGTAGGAACTGTTCCAGCATCTAAAGAAAATTGGAAGATGACCTCCAATGCATCCACTGTTTCGAGAGCCACTTCCTTAAGTTGATTATCAGGTCCTAGGGATTTATCAGATTTCAATTTTCTCCAACACTATTTCTCTACTAATACAGCTTTGCTTGAGTTCCTCCCTTTCCTTCACCCTGTGTTCCTCATCATTTCTGATACATTGCTTCTGTCTTCACAAAGGCGGACATGAACAAAGTATGAATTTAGCTTGTCAGCTATTTCTTTGCTCCCCATTATAAATTCCCCCTGTTTCTGATTGTGAGACACCAACATCAGTTTTCACCAAACTTGTTCTCTTTACATACCTATAGTACCTTTTACAGTCAGTTGTTATGTTCCCTGTCAGTTTTCTCATATACTCTAGATTCCTCTCTTAGTCAACCTGTTGGATCTCCTTTGCTGACTTCTAAACTGTTCCCAATCCTCAGGTCAATTGTTTTGTGTTGCCAATTTGTAATACTCTTTTTTGCATCTAATACTTTATCTAACTTGCCCATGTTTCATGTTTTGGCTACTGTTCTCTTTGCATTCTTGTGCCAGACAAGAATAAACAAACATCTTTTGTAGTTCACCCATTTGCTCTCAATGTTTGCCATTGCCTACTTACTGTCATTCCTTTCAGTAACATTTCCCAATTTATCACAGCCAACTTAAATCTCATACCATTGTCATTTTCCTCACTAAGATTCAGGACCCTAGCATCGGAATCACGTCACCTTACTCTCCATCTTGATGGAGAATTCTATCATATTATGGTCACTCATCTCCAAGGGGTCTCTCACAGCTGCATTACCAATTATTTCTCATTGCATAATACCCAGTCTCAGATGGCATATCTCTAGTTGGTTTCTCAACGTCTGGGTCCAGAAAATCACCCCATATACACTCAGGAATTCCTCCTCTCTGATATTGTGACTAATTTGATTCACCCAATCTATATTCAGATGAAAGATACTCATAATTGCAGGTGTACCTTTACCTCATGCATCTCTGTTTACCTATTTAATGCCATTCCCAACATCACAACTACAGTTTATTAGTTTATATACCATCCCCATTAATGTTTTTTGCCTATTGGTATTTCACAATTCTACCCACATAGATTCTACATTTTCTGAGCTATCTTTCCCCAACATCATGTATATATCCTCTTTAATCAAGAAGACAACTCCACTGCCTTTTCCTTTTTATCTGTCCTTTCTGAATTCTGATGTTCAGTTCACATCCCTGGTCACTCTGCAGCCATGTCTCTGAATTCCCAACTATATCATACCCATTTACATCTATTTGCATTATTAATTCTTCCACTTTATTTCAAATGCTCCATGTGTTGAGGCACAAAGCCTTAAGGCTTGTCTGTTTAATGTTCCATGGCTGATTCACACTCCTTTCTTTTACAGTGGTGTTGTTTGAGTCTGGCCTTTGATTCTTCTGTATACTGTTGTCCTCAATTCCCCTTCCTGACTCCTTGTATAAATTCCCATCCCCCTGCCAATTTAGTTTAAACCAAACCACCCCCACCCCCCCAAAACACTCTAGAAAATATTCTTGTCAGGGCATCAGTCCTGGGACTAACCAGGAACATGTCCAGTCAGCACACATCCCATTAACATCCCAGAACTAGTCCCAATACCCCAGGAATTTGAAACGCTCCCCCTCACACCATCTTTTGAGCCAGCATTCTTCCGATATATCCTGCTATTTCTACTCTGACTAGCAGGTGGCACGGTTGTAATTCTGAGATCACTACCTTTTGAGGTCCCACTTTCAGCTTGCTTCCTAACTCCCTATTTTCTGTTTTTGGTTTTTAAAAAATGGTACGAGCTCCTACGGCTTTGGTACCAATGTACACCACAACCACTGGCTATTCACCCTCACCTTTCAGGATGCCTGTGGTTGCTCTGAGGCAACACACCATCCTGGAGTGTTGTTTGCAGCCACAGAAACGCTGATCTATTCCCCTTACAATTGAATCCCCTATGACTACTGCATTTCCACACTTTTTGCACCACCTCTGTGCAGCAGAACAAACTGTAGTGCCACGAATTTGTCTGTTGCTGTTTTACCCCTCCCCCGCACTCCTCCTCCTCCAACAGTATCTATGGTATAGCTCTACCTCTGTATACGTGCTGCCAATGATTCTGCCAGTTTTGTGGATGCTCCATAGTACAGCTGCTGCTCCAGCTCCGAAATCCAGGCTTCTGGGACCTGCAGCTGGAGACACTTCCTGTGTACATGTTGGTCCCAGGCACTGGACGACTTTGAGCTCTACTGCCATGACTTACCCTTTTAAATTAAACCTTCTGGAAGATGCTAGATATCAATTAGCAGTTTCTGGAGCTGTTCTTTCCTGTTCCTTGTTACTGCAGAATCTAGCTCTTAGAAAACAATAAACCACAAAAGACCTTAAAAAAATTGAAGTGATGAAAGTTCTAAATATTTACAAACATCACTTACTCCTTGTCAATCAGCTCTCTCCCTTGGAGCCCCCATTCTTGCAGTAGGGCAGGACCTTTCCTGTTTTCCTGTGATGTCACTTTTTTCCCCCAATGAGCAGAACACCCATCCCAAACCGATACACCGCAACATTGACTGCAAAGACACCGTTCCCAGACTGCTTCAAGGCAATGCTGACTGTGAGGACACCCTTCCTAGTATTCTTCACTGTGTACAAGGACACTGTTCCCAGACTGTTTCATTGTGACACCAACTGTGAGACACTCTTCCGAGACTGCTTTAAGGTGATGTTGACACCAAGGACAAGGACATCCTTCCTGTAATGTTTCACGGTGATGCCGAACATGACGATATCCTCCCCAGTCAGTGTTATGTGTTTGCTGCAGATCTAGAGGCCCTCCTACCCCCGGTTAATACCAGTGATGGCAGGTAATCAGTTGCCCTACAAAAGGGCATCAATCGGTCACGGGGAATTCAGACCTCACCCTGATTTAATTCAGGCAGAAATTGGAAGACAGAGATTCAGGCATGATCCCATCCTGCCTTCTAAATTACTTCTTTGCCCCCAAACACTCCATAAAATTGAATTTTATTAACTCTTTATAACTTCAGAAGTGGCCTAGCAAGCCAGTCAAACAGTTACCATTTTCAGGAAAGTATGCAATATGTATAAATGCAGTGAAATAATCACAATGGATCAAATTTGATTAACCCAAATTTCCAGTTGTAGTGAAATTGTTAACCATTCTCGCTGGAAGATTAGCAAATCCTACAGAACGATGACTGTTAGAACAGAGTTACAAACTGGGAACTTAGAATTTGCTAAATAAGTGCAAGAAATCTGAGGATCTAATATGGTTTTAAACTAATAGATTTAATATGAGAAACAGTTCAGCCAGGTTTTTTTTCCAACAAATAATAAACAGTTTTGCAAATAGTTTTGTCAAAAATCTTTCTAATTTTTCTGAAGATTATTGACAAAAAAGATTTAGACTGTGCAAAAATCGACCTCACTCAGGTGCCGTTCCTCTCAGAGAAGAAGCTGGATACTAGTATGCATCTCGGTGAAGGAGGAGCTATATACAGGCCCCCAGAAGCTTCCTGCCAGGATACTCCAAAGGTGCCTGGCCCTCCGTCTCCGCTGTATTTTTGATGTCAAAGTATGCGGTAGTGTATCCTGATGGCTGGTTTCCTTCCGGTCTGGCCGATGTAATGTTTGTTGCAGTCATTGCAAGGTATTTTGTAAACTACATTGGTCCTGCATGCCGTGGGTGAGGTCATTGGTCCTTGTGAGTGCTTGTCATTGTGCAGCTGTGAGCTTGTGTGCTACCATGATTCCTAGTGGTCGTAGGAGTCTCGTAGTGTTAGGATACTATTCAAACAGGCCACAATGCACTGCAATATGTCAGAACTATGCAAGAAGGAGAAAGAGCACCTACATAAGGTCTTTCCTAACAACGGATATCCCAACAACTTCATCTGCAGGTGCCTGCTAGATAGACAACGTCAAGAGGACACAGTATACCCCAAGACACTGGCCAGACCATCCTATATCAAGAACATATCAGAACTGACAAGATTCCTATGACCACTAGGAATCATGGTAGCACACAAACCCACGCAGTCACACAATGACTAACAAATAGTCATAAGGACCGAAAGCCCCATATCCATGATAAGCAGGACCAATGTAGTTTGCAAAATACCTTGCAATGACTGCAACAAACATTACATTGGACAGAGCAGAAGGAAACTAGCCATCAGGAGACACGAACACCAGCTAGTAGCAAAATAACACAACAAACTTTCCCTCATCTCGGTGCACTCAGACAATGAAGGCCATCAATTTAACTGTGACAACGTGATCATCCTAGCTCAAGTCAACCACAGACACACATAGGAATTCCCAGAGGCCTGGTTTTCAACCCGTAATGCAATCAACAAACATGTGGAATTAGATGCCATGTACAAACCCATGCAGAACAGAACTGGAAATGACACAACCCAACTTATCAGACCAGATCATATAAATAACAAGCGGAGTAGAACAACATCACTTCATTGAAGGCCTCACTGATGTTACCTAGCATGGTGATGAAACATCTGTACAATAACCAGCCAGTTCAGCGAGCAAGCCAACAACCTCGTCCATAACCCGAGCCTCAAATCATCGCAAGAATCTTAAAGATAGTTCTACCCAAAGCAAGATCCGGTTTAGTGAGTCTCTACATCATATATTACATGAATGTACAATGTTTTTGTTCTGATTTTTACATGAGGCATTTTAATCACAGTTTACTTTTGCACACCGTAACATTAATGAAAATATACAATTATATTCTAATCCAATTACAATGTTATCAAAAATTAAATATCATACTGCAGCCTTTACAGTTCATTCATAATCTGTATAATTTAATCTATTCAGTAAAACATATTTTGTACCAAATTTAATTAACTTTCTCAGGACGTTATCAACTAAAAGACTATAATTTACAGTTGATGTGCTGATCTGCAAGTATGATCTCTGGGATAAAATTGGGTAATGGGACAAAATCTTGCTGAAGCAGTTAAAATCAATTTTCTTACACTGTAAAGTACTGGCTATTGGCCATTGTGAATCTCTGGAGTGTGGGAACTTTCTTTTCATGTTTATGAACTTAATCAGTGCCAAATAATTTGAAATAGGATACCATCAGCCAGTTCTGACGACTATCTCACCCTAGATCACGCAGCACAGTACGCTGGATTTTCCAGCCCTTATGTGTGGCTGAAGTGCATTGAGGTGTGTAGGACTTGAATCTGGGATTCCCAACAGTATGAATTTTCAGTGGTGCGGGTTAAGGGCATAGGTATGGAGCTCTCTCTCTATTGCCCTGAATTTGTAAGCACAATTGCAGAAGTGGTTCTTTCAAACCTTCCAAAACTTTGATGGAATTGGGCCAGTTTTGGAGAGCAGTGTAAGTCAGGTATTGCAAATTGTACGGAACCACAGTTTGGAGGTGGGAATTGTACAAAACGTCCAACAAAAGATGTTGTCTAATTCATATCTATTACATTGTATTAGAAATGGGCATAATCAATGCTGTGAGTGGTAATGCAGTTTGTGTCAGAAAGGAGAGTGATCATTAAATTCTGTGGTTGCCAGGTTGTCAACCTCTGACATCTGGCAAGCTGATGAAGGAATTAACATTATAGTGAAAATGGAAAAAGTCTTCAGAAGTATTGGAGTGCATCATCCTTGGATAACGTGCTAATCTGGGTTATAGAACTGTTGTACTCCCTTGACCACCAAGGCAGTCAAATGTTATCCGGGTAGGTAGGAATGTGAAGTTGGGGCCACGATGACATCTACCACAATGTAATGGATGGTGGAGCAGGTTTGAGAGGCATACTCTTGCTCCTACTTCTTACCTTCATATGTACCACTGTGAAATCTTTGACCTGACAGTGAGAAATGTGTCCAGAGCTTTTGATGGTTTCCTTGAAGTTCAGTTGATCCATTTGCTTAGTTTTAAAGCTTTGACAAATGTCTGGGCCTCTGATTGTCTTCAAAGACTTTACAGAATTCAGTCTAGGAAAGTTTGTTGACCCAGTTCTTCAATGGAATCTCGCTATGAACAGTTGGCTGACTTTCAAATCAACAATTTGATTCTGCTGAGCAGGGGTAGTTCTCACAATGGTCAAACAGAATATGAGCTTTCTTACATTTACAAATTTTGAATTGTTCAGAGATCATGGTTTTCAAGAGACATTCAAGTTTTTTTAAATTTTATCTGATTTATCACTTTCCCAAGGATTTCTCAGTGTTATTATGGAGGTCGAGAGTTTATCATGGATACTGGACGACCGGGCTCAGGGGTGTGAGGAGATGAGGGATGTCTGGGGGGGGTGGGAGGGAAGGTGAAAATGGAGTGTAGGTCAAGGGGCTGTCTACTCATCACCAGGCTGTGCTGATATTTCAATGAACAGAGGTATGTCTCAGTATTGTCCCTGTGCTGGGTCTGATGAATAAAGCTTCGGTGGGCAGAAGTAGGATCACAACGTTTTACTTGTTAAGTCAATTCTTGTCGTGTCTGCATGAAGACTCTTGTGCTTCTCTGTGAGAGTTGGCTTGAATTCTATGAATTAATAGGAAAGGAGGGAAAAGGAATATCCCAGTATTATTTGGAGTGACCATAGGGTATAGAAACCTTATTTCTTCACTATAGCTGTTAAAACTCTTGTTTTGAATAAACTGAGGCTGAGGTGATCATTACTGCAATGTACTAGAATCAAAGAATCACTAAATCTCTTCTGCTGAAACCCATTATGACAGTAGCACTTCATGAGGCATTGGAAGACCACGAACAGCAGCCCAAGCATTTTCAATCATTCTCTCCATCATTTCACGATTCGTCTTTTCAGTGGCAGTTCCAAGGTGGGGAGTCAGAATGACATTTGGCAAGTGTAGTAAAGGATGATTCCTTTTAGAAAAAGCACGAGACAGTTGCGATGTCAAATGGGTTTCTGTACCTAGGTTATAGATTTGTACTTTTCAAATGAAATCTTTTGATAATTTGAATAAATGAATGTGACAACATACCTCGGAAGGGGCTCTGGTTCAGAGACATCTAGTGCTGCTGCACGAATAACTCCATTCTGAAGCACTTTCACCAAAGCATTCTGATCAATCACTCCACCTTGGGATATCAAACAACTCTATCAACTTGACTGCATGTTCTACTCTATGTGGAACACAGATTTTAAATATGCATGCAAAGTATAAAGTTATACAGTTTTAGCAACATTTCTTTTGAGTGAATTTATCCCAAGAATGTTTTACTGCAATCATGAAGGCCATATTATTTGTTTAATTGAAATAAATGTCAATCAGGAAAACATATTACATCTGATACACATCTGTAATGTTAAAATTTTAAAGAATTCAATAACTCAAAAAAACTCTTACATCTGTGGGGCAAAAAAGCAAATAATTGGTTCAGGTAACCACTATCTTCTCAGCCATTTTTTTGATTTGTGTCTATTTTGTCTCTCCCTGGAAAAGGCAGTTTGGTTTAATCGCAGTTTAGGTTAGAACAAGCCAGTAATACTGTGGCTTGAAGAGGTAGGACCATGAAATGACAACACCAGGTATGTTCACTTCATGTGCCTAGGCCTGAGTGGCAGCTGTGGGTGAATGCAGATGGGTTGGATTTAGACTGGTGGAAGTGTGAATCCTTCTAGGTTGATGGAATATAGACCACTGGGAAGTGGCTGTGAATATTTGAGGGCTCACCAACACGGTCAGGCTAGGAGACACTGGAGGACGAGTGTTCACTATAGCCTTCCATGTGGAAATTGCAAGTGTATAATGGGATGAAAATGGTCGCAAGAACACTTGGAGAATGCAGGCTAAATGGCTTGACTTGTGAGAGGGCAGGCTGCAGCACACACACCTCAGAGGGCTTTTAGAGACGGTAACAATGAAGGTTACAGGCCCCTGAAAGGCCTAGTGCAAAGGCCTGTATGATGCATACTTCCCAGACATCCTACAGAATTGACTCCCTCTGAAGGTGCCACCTCTCTGGCACAGCCACTAGTGGACACCTTTTTGGCTGTTAAACTTTGTGCACAGAGGTATTCAAACATTAGGGATCTTCATCCAGGTTCCCTCTGACTGGAGGTGATGCCGTCAGCTGTGTGCACAAATCTCAATCCATGAAGCCCCTTGTGTGACCGTGAACTCCTGCTGGATGATGTGACAAAGTATCATCTGCCTCTGCCTCTACTCAGTGCATTTTCTTCTGAAATTCTTATGCAGGCTTTAGTTACCTCCATACACATTCCAATGCTCTCTAAATGGCTTCCAGTTCTCCACTTAGCTTCAACGCATCAAAAGCAACTCGCTCTCTTCTATTCTGAAAGATCCTGCTCACACATCTCCCCAACCTAAGCTTTCTTACAGTGACCCACGGTCCCCCAAATTTCAGATACTCATTCTTTAATGCTTTTCTCCTTCTGTACCTTTGTGACATCCTGCTGTTCTGTTTAGCCTCCCCACCACTTATGGTTGTTCCTCAGAACCTGTCCAATTGCTAATCAGGTCCAAGTGTTGAAATTTGGTTCTTACATTCCTCCAGCTCAGCGTCTTTCTATAAGCTCCCACCTTAAAACTCCCTTCATAAATCATACTTGTCTTTGTCTGATTATGCCTCTGTGAATTGCCTTTTCTAAATACATGGTGCTCAGTCAATGAAAATTCATATATGTTATATACTATGCTGTAATGTTGACCTTTCCTTGACAATGGGTAGTCCACTCTGTTAGAAGACCAATGCATTTTACTGGCACATGGAAAGCCCTGTAACATGTTCTCATATACAAGAAGTGTCTTGGCCAGTCCTGTTTGATTCTTAATAATTAGGAAAGGTAGCCTCTATGAAAGGCAACAGGTACAGCAATTTTAGCTGACATAATCACATAACTGCTCCCCAGAGACCTAATGGTTGAAACCATTGATCAGTCGAATCCATAAGTGCACCTATGAAGAATATAAACCATGGAATCCTGTCAACCAGTCCAAAAAATTAAGTGTTTGATGATTTTTTGAGTTAGAAATGTGTCATTTTATGTAAGATTTAATACAATTATACAATCAGAAACCTTTTAAATAAGAAACTTTGTCATAACACATTGCAAAACAAGCAATCACATATATATATTTCCTTACCGCGGGAGATATTAATGAGAGTGGCATTGGGTTTCATTAGTCTAAGTTCTCTTTCTCCAATCATTTTGGTAGTTTGAGGAGTCAGGTTTACTACTATCATGACAAAATCTGACTCCTGGAGGAGATCATCGATTTTTGCACAGTAGCAAGCCCCAACCAGCATCTCTTCTTCCTCAGTCCTACAGATGGATGAAGCAAGTGTTATAATTATTATAAAGATAGTGAATTTTTAGAACCTGGTATACATTTTCGTTTTTCGTTAATGATTCTGTGAAAAATCACCCCCATTTTTTTCATAAATCTTTTCACTATCCAGCTTTGCCAATGGTGTGCCTTCTAAGGGGCATTAAATTGAAACCTTCAAATTCAGATCATCTGTTCCATAGTGACAATTTCTCAATTCCTTTGCTAAAATAGAAAAATACCAGGGTACTGTAATGTTTATTTGGAACTTCAATTCAAACACAGTTGGGGTACTGTGGTGCAGTACTGTTCTTCACTTGACAAAATCCAGGTAGGAAGAAAGGAGAGGATACAACTTCAGTAAAATATTAATGATACAGCACGTGCAGGAAAAGGTCATGTTGGTTAATCAAACATGCTCATTAACAGAGAGTTACATTTATTGATGGAATACAGTACAATATCTGTAGCACAAACTTTCAAAGAAAGAATATAAAATAACATGCAGCTACTCAGGAAGTAAAAACTGTTTGCTTCTAATCTTCAACAGCAAGTCAAAATACGAAGGATCTTAGGTTAAATCCTTCTTTATCAGAAGAGCCTTTTGCAAATTGAACATTGAATTTTCTCTGAGCCCTCTTGTAAGTTTCACTTTTCACTTATTTCACATTCAAGATTACATTCTTTACGCTTAGAGGTCTTGAAAGTTCTGTATAATGCCTTCATAATTGATTAAACGTTCTCATGAAATCTCTTCTTTAATCACATTTCAAAGTCTGGATGATGCCTGGGTCCAGAAGTTACACTAATGAGGTTTCATTTGCAAGCGGGAAAAATGTTAACTGTTCACTAACCCTGGTTTATGAGTGTGAGGTCAACAATCGTCTACCAATAGAATAGGGTCATAGAATCCCTACACTGCAGAAGCAGGCCATTCAGCACATCGAGTCCACGCTGACCCTCTGAAGAGCATCACCACCCAGACCGACCCCCTCCCCCCAACCCTATCCTATCCTGTCCCTCAAATCCCTCATTTCCCATGGTCAATCCACCTAGCTTGTACATTTCTGAACACTATGGTCAATATAGCATGACCAATCCATCTTTTGTCTGTGGGAGGAAACCCATGCAGACATGGGGAGAATGCGCAAACTCCACGCAGATAATTGCCCAAGGATGGAATCAAACTTGGGTCCCTGGCACTGTGAGGCAACAGTGCTAACCACTGAGTCACTATGCTGGCCTAAAGCTTCACTATTTTCAGTCTTGCCTATTTTTCTAAATTCTTCTTTTACGAAGGGTGCAAAACACATTGAAACCACTCTTGAAAAATTTCCTTGCCCATTCATGGATTATTCTGCTCACTGAACTACAATAAACTTAAATGACCTCGGGTGCTTAATTTTTCCAATCGCCCATAAGTACTATCAATCTGTATAAAAACTGAAAGAACTGCAGATGCTGTAAATCAGGAACAACAACAAAGTTGCTGCAAAAGCCCAGCAGGTCTGGCAGCATCTGTGAAGGAAAAAACAGGGTTAATGTTTTGGGTCTGGTGACCCTTCCTCAGAACTGGCTTAACTCCGTTTTTTCCTTCACAGATGCTGCCAGACCTGCTGGGCTTTTCCAGCAACTTTATTTTTGTACTATTAATCTATGTTTATTCTGTTTTAAAGCCAGTAGAACCAGATTCGCTCATTCGCATCTATCAGCTTTGAATTTGGTAAACAGAGCCAATGTGAGCCCATTTTGTCTGTGTTATAAATTTGGTCAGAGATGGATGATGTTCAGAGATTAATTAGTAAACAAGATTCTCAGTTTTCTTCTGCAGCGTCATGGTCAGTTTTTTGTGGACAGGATGTTTTAATGTCATGACATTAAAACATGAAAATCATAAAATAGAAAATATATGTGGATCAGTCACTTTCTTTTCCTCATTAATTTTACGTTTTCAATGAGCACATGGCTGGAGAAAAGGGTTCTCTGAACTTTTTGGAGAAAACCATTCACATAAAGCACTGACTAGCTCCTCGTATTTAGGTACAGGTTAACTAAGCTTTCTTTAACAGCTTTATTTGATTCAGAACAAGAGAAAAACCTCAGCAATGTTCTTTTTGATCTGTGATGTTGTATATCATGGATGGGCCAACATTAAATTATATCAACAAAACATGCCAATTTTCATCATTTCAATGCTTGTATTGACGTCAATTTTCTTCATTAATGTTCACAAAAATCTTCTGTGCTTCTTTCATCAGCTTTTCTCTGGTTTACTGGACATCATAATGGGACAGTTGGGTTTGTTACTGTTGTGTTGGGAAGATTAAGGATTACAATGACGATGAACAAGAAGGACAATCAATGCCTCTACCAGGAGCTCACCAAGCCATATCAAGGTGACCTGGGAAAACACTAACGTTTGGAATAACATCTGAATAGCTTCTTAGTTCAGTGAAGCGATGATTTGCTGGAGATGAGTATCAAAATTCTACATTGTAGAGAATTCCAATGGCTTAAATGCCCGATAACACAATGATCAGGAGTAAAGGTACTTTCTGGTGAGAGGAGATGAATAAGATTACATCAACAAAAAAGGACCTTTATAAACTACGTAGTGGGTTGACATGATGGATATGGAGAAATGGTTCTCACTTATGGGAAGAATTTAGGTGCAAAATTTTGAAGGCCCACGTCAGTGGGTTTGCAACTGTAGAGGGAGGGCTTAAAATGTCCCAAAGCTCTCCGACCATCCATCCACTCCCCCAACCTACCAACAATATCACAGTGGGATGGGAAAGGCCTGGCTCTCCCACTCATCCTTGCCATGACTGTTTAAGGGCTGTTCCCTGTCCAGCTCGCAGGAGTTCAGGGGCAGAAATGGAAATTCAGCAAGTCACCTCATTAGACCTCGGCCAGGAAGAAGGGCACCTCCCTCCATGATCTCCTTTCCACATCAAATGTCCCCCTCAAAGCCTATGTTCAGATGGATATTTCCTCTCCATTCAGATCCCCATCCCTTTCTCAACACTTGTCCAGGCTGAATGTTCCCTCCTGCTATGGCACTACCTGCACTTACCTAATCCTGAAAACCAGGATCTGGAATTTGAGTCTGCTTATTGTTCTGGTGTTGGCCACTAATGCTGGGAGTACAGAGCTGCAGGTCACTCAGTTAGCTGACAGCTTGTCGAGTGAGATCTCCTTCTGACTGAGTGCTGGAAGTCTTATCTCCAGTCAGTTAACACTCCTTGAAGTGGGAAGTGATGAATTGATGAATAATATGGAATAAAACGAGAAGAGAAGAGAATGGAGATGAATGCATGAAGACCCAATAACTGAGGCTCAGGGCTCAAGGGGGCCCGCTGTGCTCAGACCAGGGGCAGAGTCAGGGATCTATGATTTCTGTCCCTGCACCTCAGGAGCAGTAAAAGTTGAGAAGGCCATTTAAAAAGCTTATGGGATTCTCGGGTTTATCAGTAGAAGCATAGAGTACAGAAACAAGGATACTGTGCGAAGTGTTTATGACAACTTTGGGCTTCCACTCGGAAATTTTGAGTACTGCAGTTTAAGTCTGAGACAAGATGCAGAAAAGTTTTACTAGAATGCTATCAGGGATGAGAACTTCATTTTCATGGAGAGCTGGGAGAAATTAACTGAGATTATTCTACTTAGTGTAGAGAAGGTTAAACTGAGATTGGTAGATGTACTGAAAATCATGGAAGGTTTTGATAAATAAGGAGAAACTGCTTTCAGCAGCAGAAAGGACAGTAACAAAAAGGCCACAGATTTAAAGGATGATTAGCAAATGTACCTGAAGCAACATGAAACAAAACGTTACACCATGAGGTGCTGCAATTTTGTGTGCACTGTAGTAATTGTAATTAGGTCAGCCAGGTGGACCTCATACAATGAGTTTCCTGACTGGGGCTGTTAATCTGGTCCAATCAGGGAGCCTGGCTGACAGATAAGAACAGGAGTGTCAGGCATCCTGTTCACAGAGCTGGTTCTGAGCAAGCTGGATCAGTCATGTGTAAATAAATCGTAGAATCCCTGCAGTGTGGAAGTAGGCCATTTGGCCATTCATTGAGTCCAAATAGACCCTCCGAATGGCATCCCATCCCCCTCCCCTATCCCTGTAACCCTCCATTTCCCATGGCTAGTCCGCATAGCCTTGACATCGCTGGACACTATGGGCAATTTAGCATGGCCAATCCACCTAACCAGCACCTCTGAACTGTGGGAGAAAGTCAGAGCACTCAGAAACCCACACAGACATGGGAAGAATGTGCAAACATTACACAGAATTGAACCCAGGCCACTGGCACTGTGAGGCAGCAGTGCTAACCACAGAGCCAATGTGTTGCACAGTGCATTCGTAACAGGCCTCATTGGAGTTATTTCAGTGGCGATGAAAGAAAAGCATGCTCCTGAAGAAATTCACTTGCAATGGTCTTTGAGTTGGGGTAAGCATTTCTGGCATCATTTGGGAAACTTGACTTGTTCAATCCTGCCATCAAAGACTAGGCCCAGTATGTGGAAAGAATGTGTTATTTTTTCTGGACAAATGACATTGAAAGCCAACATGTAATTCTCCTGACAGCTTGTGGGCCTGCAGCTTTAAGTTATTAGGAGCTTGACTTTCCCTGAGGGACCAGATACTAAAACCTTTCAAGGGTTGATGGATTTAGTCAAGGAATATTCTGGCTCCAAGCGTCTAATAATTCTGAGATGCTATTGGTTTTACACAGCAATTTGAGAACTGGGGAAACCGTTTCGGGAATTTTGACTAGGGTCTGAAGAATGGCAGAGGCATGTGATTTTGGTTTATTACTTAGTGAGATGCTGTTTGATATATGGGATTATTGATGTAACTATGCAAGAGTACTGACTAGATGAAGTCCAACTGGACTTCAAACAGGCACCGCAACTAGCTTTATCATTGGAAAATATGGCAAGTGGAGCATGTGTGTTGCAGGTCTTCCAATGGAAGTGAACACCC